AAAACTCAATCCTACGTGACAATACAGAGAGGGATCCCACCTTCTTGTACTTAATACAGTCAGGGTGCTAACAGAGGGGAATCCACAGTTTTCAGACTGTTGGGGAGCGTGCAGGTTGTGTACATCAATGGCATTTGATGACTGAGACTCGGTTTGCGTTTTACTCCACGAACGCCATGACAGATTCATCGTTGGCGAGTTATTCTGGATTACTTCCATGTTGTTGGTGCCGATCTTCCACTTTCTCGCACTCGACTCCCCTTCGGACCAATATTTTGCCCCCCACGATTTCTCATGTCTCGATCAGATACATCAGCCTGTGCAGCTTCTTCATCGTATCTACGGAATAAATGGAACAGTCAGACTTAAGGAATAAACCTGGTATTCCCAATGAGGATCTGATACAATGTATAAAGACACTGCAATCTGATACAATGTATAAAGACACACTGCAATCTGATACAATGTATAAACATACTGCAATCTGATACAATGCATAAAGACACACGGCAATCTGATACAATGTATAAACATACTGCAATCTGATACAATGTATAAAGACACTGCAATCTGATACAATGTATAAAGACACACTGCAATCTGATACAATGTATAAAGACACACTGCACTCTGATACAATGTATAAAGACACACTGCAATCTGATACAATGTATAAAGACACACTGCAATCTGATACAATGTATAAAGACACACTGCACTCTGATACAATGTATAAAGATACTGCAATCTGATACAATGTATAAAGATACTGCAATCTGATACAATGTATAAAGACACACTGCAATCTGATACAATGTATAAAGACACACTGCAATCTGATACAATGTATAAAGATACTGCAATCTGATACAATGTATAAAGATACTGCAATCTGATACAATGTATAAAGACACACTGCAATCTAATACAATGTATAAAGACACACTGCAATCTAATACAATGTATAAAGACACACTGCAATCTAATACAATGTATAAAGACACACTGCAATCTAATACAATGTATAAAGACACCGCAATCTGATACAATGTATAAAGACACACTGCAATCTAATACAATGTATAAAGACACCGCAATCTGATACAATGTATAAAGACACACTGCAATCTGATACAATGTATAAAGACACACTGCAATCTGATACAATGTATAAAGACACCGCAATCTGATACAATGTATAAAGATACTGCAATCTGATACAATGTATAAAGATACTGCAATCTGATACAATGTATAAAGACACACTGCAATCTGATACAATGTATAAAGACACACTGCAATCTGATACAATGTATAAAGATACTGCAATCTGATACAATGTATAAAGACACACTGCAATCTGATACAATGTATAAAGACACACTGCAATCTGATACAATGTATAAAGACACACTGCAATCTGATACAATGTATAAAGATACTGCAATCTGATACAATGTATAAAGACACCGCAATCTGATACAATGTATAAAGACACACTGCAATCTGATACAATGTATAAAGATACTGCAATCTGATACAATGTATAAAGACACACTGCAATCTGATACAATGTATAAAGACACACTGCAATCTGATACAATGTATAAAGATACTGCAATCTGATACAATGTATAAAGACACCGCAATCTGATACAATGTATAAAGACACACTGCAATCTGATACGATGTATAAAGACACACTGCAATCTGATACAATGTATGAAGACACACTGCAATCTGACACAATGTATAAAGACACACTGCAATCTGATACGATGTATAAAGACACACTGCAATCTGATACAATGTATGAAGACACACTGCAATCTGATACGATGTATAAAGACACACTGCAATCTGATACAATGTATGAAGACACACTGCAATCTGACACAATGTATAAAGACACACTGCAATCTGATACGATGTATAAAGACACACTGCAATCTGATACAATGTATGAAGACACACTGCAATCTGACACAATGTATAGAGACACACTGCAATCTGATACAATATATAAAGATATGGCAATCTGATACAATGTATAAAGACACTGCAATCTGATACAATGTATAAAGATACACTGCACTCTGATACAATGTATAATGTTACACTGCAATCTGATGTTTGTGAGATAGGATTTGCTTCCCTACTTGTGAAGGGTTAACACATTTCCAGTGATCCTGCGCGTTCTAACTCACTGTATTTATTAAACGAGAGAAAATGTTTGTGTGTTGCCTTGACAAATGTAAAGCCAGAAATTTGTGCATTAAGGATTTAAAGCTGACAAGTGAAAAAACCTTTCTTCGGCAAACATGAAAGGATTATAGAATGAGAAAGTAATCCTGGGAGAATGCTGGAAACATAATATGTTACGATTAGACTGAAGAAATAGATCTTAATGACTGCTGAGAGTTATGTCATAAACGGATAAGTGTGGCAGCCTCAATGTGTTAAACTGACAAACAGCAGTTTAGAATGCGCCACATGGTTCCATATCCATTCCTTACAAAGACTCATTACTTGCAGTTTGATTAGAATCTTACTTTCTTGTCAAACAGCTTGTGTTTAGAGCTCTCTTTAAACGTTACATATACGTTGCTCGGTACAAAACACAGATAAATGGAAGACACAAACACCGCAATGTTACTGACTACTGTGGAGACTTTTAGGAATTATCTAACATTTAATAAAACATGGAAATCCCTTTGGATTCCCCAAATACTCCCATTTCAGAGAATGACCCCCGTCATTACCAGAAAAGTGGTGAAATGTCCTTACAGTTCCCTGGATATTCTCTACTTTTCTGATCACGACACTTTGATAAATCTCCCCAATCTATCACTGAGGGAACGTTTTTGCTGACACTCACACAGGGCTTGCTAGCCAT